AATCATTGCAAGAGGGTAACACTGTATTTCCACTGATACTGTATCAGGTCAGTAATTCAGTCGGACTAGATATCACAACTGTGGTACATCTGGTGGCATGACAGTTCATATTCTTTTATCAATGACAGATCAAGTGGACAAAATGCTGAGTCAATGTAATCACCGAGATTTTATTACTGCCGCCTAGCATAATTCTCCTCTCTCACCGGCCTAAAGTAAGATTTTTTTTGTGGGGGTGGGGGAGGTGGGGGAAAGGGGGAAGACATGCATGTAAAATATCATTATCATCATCGTTAAGGTTGAACAAGTGAATTTTTGTACCCAATCTGGTATAGTTTTAAGGCTATTTTATTAGCATTGGTTACTTGTCACACAACCAAAATATTAGGAGAGGCAGCTACAGTGTCTACTCAAAGTATCTGATTGTTTTCTTTAAAAAATACCAAATGGCCCTGGACTACACTAAATCAAAGTGCCCACACAATTTCACTGTTAAGATTTTATTTATTTATTTTGTATCTTATGGGTCATATAAAGTGACTTAAGATTTTTTTTAACCCTTGTCTGTTTTACTGCTCTAGGCCTCGGAAATGGCTTATCCAATTTAAATGATTTATTTTTTTGTTTTAGAAAATAAATCTCCATCCAAGCTGACAATACAAATGCCAAGCTTCAGCTGGAAGGGAATTAAAACAGCCCAAATCTCTACATCCCCTTAAAAAACTCAGTAATACACACTAGATACAACCAATTCCCTCCTAAGCATAGCAGTACTAGAGAAGGGGGCTATACTCTATGCAGTTTTTGTCTTGAGCCTTAAAAACGCTGATGGTAGGATTACCACTATAGTGAAAGGGTGCAGGGTCAAAACTCAATAAACTGAACTTTTGCCAACAGAAACATTTATCTTGCCACAAAAGAACTGCTTTGATGAATCTGCTCTTATATTGACATCCTTCTTTGGCACTTCTGAATAGAAAAGAACTGAACTTGTAGAAAACCTTTCCTTTCAAGAAGCGCACAGCTCGTTTTAGGTGAGGAAAGAAAAACATGAGAAAGACAATGGAAACAGGAAAAAGAAACAGGACAGCAGTTGCTATGTGAAATAATACCACTATGGCTGTGTGCCCTTTCCTTCTTGGCTCCAGAATTCCAACATTTGAAATGGACAATTATTAGCATGAATTAACTCTGTGTGGATGAGTCAGGGGAAACATCAGACAATTGCAACTGAGGTTTATTTTTGGCCTCTTCAGTTAATTATGATTCTGGGTTATCAAGCTTAGATATGCTTGGTACTTCTTATTGGAAACACCTATTCTTTGATAAGTGCATTTAATAAAACATTACCTCATCTATCAAGGATATGAGTGGAAATTTGTTAACGAAAACCAGAAGTAAACCTCCTAATTAATGCAGTAGGAACTACCATTTGCATTCACTGAACATTAAAGTACAGTGTTTAGGGCTTAAAGGAAGTAATTTTTGAACAGTAAAATGATTCACGGATTTTAAAATCCAGGTGCAACAGTACAATGAATTAATCAGTCTCTTTTTGAATGCACCTCTCAAATTCTGGAGAGTAGCTAAAGTCAACAAGTCAAGAAGACTCATCACAAAGTCTTCAGGAACTAATTTATAAGCCTGTGCTTTGAGTGTGCATTTGCAATATACATCTGACTAGCCTTATACTGCCATAAAATGTAAATACTTTGGCAACATCTACTTTAAAAGGAGCTAAAAGAAAAGAAAATGATTTTCTGCAGGTTCCATTTCTAAAATATACACTTTTGTTAATATCTATTCGAACTCAACTTTTCTATTTGAAAGCACTACAGCATCGAGCAAGTGGTGTGCCCAGTGTTTACAGCATTCATCTTTCACCTTTAGCACCTGGGCCATTTCTGTTATACGTATGGGGTGGCCTCACACTATCTTCTAATATTCCAATTTTCAACCCATCCACTTCACAGAAAACTACCAACCAGAGAAATCAAGCCACACTGTTATGTGGAGTTCTGGTTAAAAGCAAAAAAAAACAAACAAACCGGGGTTACTATAGTCCAAACTAAAGTCCATGCAGCAGGCCATATGATTACAAATATTCAACATGGAGAAGTAATTTGTCTGGCCATTGGAAATAAGCCAGATAAGTCGTCTTCCCTCCCCTTTGAACAGCAGACCATTGTGTGCTGATCCTGCACAAAGCTGGATGTCTACCTGAACTACAAAGACACTGTGATGGCCAAAAGCCCCGAAGAATGTGAATGGGCCTGGTTATATTGCTAGAGCACATATCTTGTTTGAAATTTTGGGGAACAGAAAGAAGCTTTGCCCAATTAGGAATCCAGTTCATAATTCATCAGCAAACCAACTAGCTACTTGTTTGTTTTACCTTCAGTATTATCAGAGGACTTTATCCATTCATTACAAAGCAACACAGGAATGGATCTGTACCTGCATACTGTGACGTTCTGTACCTTGAGGGAACACCCTGCACCCCCATATTTTTCCTTATAATATGATTGTGTGGTATACAATGCAAAGTTTGTCATGTTGGGTGTCTTTGGAAGGCTCATAATGTACTGAGCATTGTTGTTATAGTGATGTTATAGTAACTGTTGTTACAGTAATGTTTCAGGCTATAATTTCATGTATACAGTTATGAGGCTGAAAATGAGTCTCCATGGCTTAACGCAAATCCAGGCAAAAACTCCCCAAGAGCAGAGGGGCAGTTCACATCTCATCAGGGCATATATGGGACAAACCCAGCCCAGCCTCACAGGAACAAAGGACACTGTCCTAGGCAACAATAAAGGATCTGTTGGACTCTCGAGTAAGTCACCTTCCTTCCTTTGGTCAGTTTGGGACTGCGATGAGGTAATGCTCACCTGACTCGGGGGGGGGGGCTGGCGCAAAGCCAAGAGGGAAGAAAGGATATGATAAAAGGAGGAGGCGTTTGCCATGGTCTTCCTCTCTTCCACCTCCATCTACAGACATCACCACCAAGCGACTGAAGTGCTGATCAAAGGGGAGAACCTGGCTGAAGGGCAACCAGCCAGCCTGTGGTGAGAAGCATCTAAGTTTGTAAGGGCATTGAAAATGTTAAAATAAGCTTAGAATGCATTTCCTTTTATTTCATTTGACCAAATCCAACTTGTTGTGCTTTGACGTATAATCACTTAAAATCTATCTTTGTAGTTAGTAAATTTGTTTGTTTATTCTACCTAAAGCAGCGTTTTTGGTTTGAAGCATGTCAGAGACTCCCCTTGGGATAACAAGGCTGGCACATATCAATTTCTTTGTTAAACTGGCAAATTCATATAAGCTTCCAGTGTCCAGCAGGCATAACTGGACACTGCAAGACGGAGGTTCCTAGGGCTGTGTCTGGGACCAGAGATATTGGCTAGTGTCATTCGGTTGCACAATCCAAGGAGCAGCTTACATGCCAGAGGCTGTGCGTGAACAGCCCAGGAATGGGGGTTCTCACAGCATAGCAGTGTAAGGCTGGCTCCCAGAGTCCAGGATTGGAGTGACCTAGCAGATCACCGGTCCGGATAACACCAGAGGGGAACGTCAAACATACTCCTTTCCCTTCCAGGAATGGGGACACTTTAAAAGCCCCCTAGAACTTCTTGCTTTTCAGTTTTGTTAAGCATTCAGTCACGCTTAGTTTCAGCACACACACATTAATGCATTACATAGATACGCACAAAATACATAGAAATCAAAGACATTTTAGGAGAAAGATACTGATCTTCTCCTTCAGATCTTACTGAAATAAAACAGAATTTATATAACACAATCCACTGGATGCTTGGCAAAACTGAGAATGGAGAGTATGCTTGCTTCGGGGCCCACAGTCTGAACTGTAAGAAGGAAACTCAGACATACATTTCTTCTGCAAAGATAGCCATCTCTCTCTCTTCTCCTGATGTTCGTGAAATCATTTCAGAAGAAAATGTCTTTCTTATTTGTCTTCTAATTGTGTCTACTAAAACTATATTCATAGAATCATAGAATCATAGAATATAAGGGTTGGAAGGGACCCCAGAAGGTCATCTAGTCCAACCCCCTGCTCGAAGCAGGACCAATTCCCAGTTAAATCATCCCAGCCAGGGCTTTGTCAAGCCTGACCTTAAAAACCTCTAAGGAAGGAGATTCTACCACCTCCCTAGGTAACGCATTCCAGTGTTATTGGACATGGGCAAGATACACATGGTTTATGGTAGGTTTGTGACTGACTTCTAAATAAATAAATAAATAAATTTTAATAAAAGGATCCAACCCCAAGCAGTTGGTGTATATTTATAAAATTTATTTAGATGCAAGCCAAATACATGAGCCCACTCCAGCCCTCCTATACCCACTTTAACATAGGGAAGATAAGATCAGCTGCTAAGCCATATTATAAGGCTTTCATTCAGCCACAGAGGATATACCAGCTTTATTCTGACATCCCGGCTCCAAAAAGCTGACAGTGGTATGTTTGAGTTTCCATGGGAATTCAGTGACTCTTTGGCTGCTGCATATGTGCAATGTGAACTCCACAGTGCAACCATACTATAAACATCTTGTTTTCCTGCTAAGAGCTGTGAGCGTAGCATTACTGCTTGGAAACTAGAATATGTTCTCCGAGCTATACACAGTGCTCAATTTGTGCCAGGGCTGAGCCCAGGCACCTCTGAGCTTGGCAGTTCATAGTCCCGGCACCTCTGGACTTGCTGCACCAGATATGAATGTAAAAAAATTGCTTGAGACCTGGCACTACTTTCATTACAAATGAAGCACTGGCTTTGCACATAATGTTAACAAACTCATTGCCTCCAATGACACTTGAAGCCACTGCTGGCATAATTGACCCTCTTTTCTCAAATGTAGAGACTGCTTTAAAAAAAGCACACACTCGTGTGTGCATAGACAGATATAGCTATTATCATTATATCTAATGAGATAGAGATGGACAAAACAGAGAGGATAAAAGAACAGATATTTCTTACCATGTGCCACCCAGCCATGTTTACAATGGTCACAGGTTCTCAGGTTAATCTTCCCTGGCTGGAAACATTCACATGTGCAATTTACCAGTGTACAGCGGATGGCCTGGAAAAAGAAACAAATGCACATAAATATCTTACCAGATAATTTTTTTTTTTGTTCTTTAACTATCTGCCTATATGGTGGCTGGGATTTTTGAACATAAAGAGAAAGAAAAAGAAAAGAAATTCTAAAATGCAAAGCATTGTTAATTCTTTTACATAGGGTTTATTTTTCCTTTAAAATGCATATATCAATATCCCTGAGCAATTATAAAAAAAGTCTATTCAATAATAATGTATTATATTATTCCATAGGCTGAATAAATTCTTAAATTCTTTAAAAGAATACAGACCAAGGACTAAACTCAGGCTTTTTTTCCAATCAAGTGCCTGAAGGAAAATGTTATTATAGTCATGTCTTCACATAGCACTATGTCACATTGGTTAGAATCAAGAGTGAAACATGCACATAAAAATATACATAAAGGCAGAGCGTTGTCCAAGCATTGTTCTCATGTTTCCCTGTTGGGATTCACACAAGATCTAATTCAGTTAAGTATCAGAAGGAAGCCACCGGTTTGGGAACTGGCGTTTCCAAAGCAGCAATAAAATGAGAGAGGTACAGATAGGACTGGCTCATGAGATACAGCGTAACTTTCCTTTGCATTCATAATTTCTCTCTGATCTCCACACATGCCCTTTACCTTTTCGTCTCATATATTTATTAAAATATAAATGTTTTCCACTTTTTCTTAAAAGGAAATCTACTAAAAACACAGACTGAATATTGAGATTTAAAATCTGGACAATGAATACATCTTTCTAAACCCAATCTTAAAACTACTTTAAAAAGCTAAGAAAGTTTACTTTAGGGAGTGTGGGGAAAAGAGTTCACAGAAAGTCAGCATAAATGTGGTGAGACCTGTGTTTCTAAACAGTGCAAAAGATGACCTGTGCTCTTCAAACTGCTACCAATAAATGTATGGCTTGCATTTAGGTGTAATTTGCATGGAGGTTTGGGAGACAGAGCAGGCTTAGTCTGATCATTCACAGATTAACAATCTACTGTAACTATCAGTGCTTCCCGGAAAAGATATCTCTACTGATTTAGATGCAATCAATGATTACTTGGGGGTTCACTAGGGGAAGGGAGTTTGGTACCTATGACTGCAGATACATGGGAACTTTATCAATGCTGTTGCCTTACAAACCTCTCCTAGACGCTTCCACTTAAAAATCTGCAATACCTGTAAGTAACAGGAATGATCTTCCCTATGCTGAAAGGATCAGATTTGTAAGGAAAACAACATTAAACATTAGCATGGGCAAGCTAAACTCTTTGTTTGCTGACAATGAAAGGAGTTCAAGCTATTTTAAACATTTTGTTTATTTATTTGAATCAGACACAGAAACTTCAAGCCATTTGTGGTTTACTGACTCACTCAATCTGTGTTTCTCTGCTCGATTTCTGAGGCAGGAGTCCTTCCTCCCTCCCATCCAGTCTGCTCTTTTACTACCTTTGACTCTCAAAAGCCCTGACGCAAAAAAATATCCAGATATTTCAGGGACTTATTCCCAAAGTCAACTGCCTTTACTCATTAGCTAGATTGTAAAACATTGCTGTATGTATCATTGATTAAAATAATTAGTAATATGAAATATAAGGGCAAAAAAGAACTGCTGACTATGCAGAATAATATGTGTGTTTGTAGGTTACAAGGAAAAAAATTCTACTGAAAGGTCCCGTTTCATGTTCAATACTTTATTGATTCGGTAATATTTCAGGTCTCCCCTGGTCAGTAATGGTGTCTTTCTCTAATATGTTCATTAATTAATGAACTCTGTAATTAATTGTACTGCAAAGAGAATGAAGGCATGACAAAATGGAATGGTATTCCTGTTCTACTGTAAGAGATTTTTTTTCCTTATAAACAAATGCCTTATTTCACTTATTTTTAAAAACTTTGTTTGCACCAATCTGTTGTAGATTTGTTGCATTTCATGTTACTGCTACACGCGCGGACACACCATCTGAAATAACGTCAACTGCTAGGGCTGCTTTATTAAAAGTTGACTAGAATTTCCATTATAAACCCACCTCTGTTTCCCCTGCCCCCAAGATTTGCATGTTGCCCGTAAAAACTGGAATCAGGCTGAAACTTGAAATACGGCACAACGTTTTAGCCCAAGAATGACTTTTCTCTCACCCCTTTGAAAATGATCCACTTAGCCATTTTAAAATGACGAGCTGAAAAAATTTTTACCAGTTTAGAGTTTCTTTTCCTCTTCTGTGACTAAAAAAATCGCTTAAATCGTCTTGAGGGTATTACTCTACTTAGTTGATTATGTGTTTCCCACATTAAGAACTTATAACATCAAAATGACATAATATTTGAAAATTCATGTAAACTTTCCACAAACATAAAAATTTCTCTTTTTAAAATAGGTAAATGAGAAAACCTTACAAAAGTGATAAGTACTTTTTATTAAGGTATGTAATCAGGCCCAGATATTTAGCCCAGCCTTAACTGGGCCTCTCTTTTTGCTCCACAGGAATCTTGATACTTTAGGCCATAATCTGGCTTCAGAGATGCAGGTACATGACTATAAATTTTAATGTGAACCATGTAGCATTTCTGAAAGATGAAGATGATGGCCTGGTGGTGAGGATGTTAGTTTTGGGGCCTGGGAGTCTGGTCGGCAGCGCAGCAGGGCTAAGGCGGGCTCCCTACTTGCTGTGGCTCCATGTGGCTCCTGAAAGCACTGGCATGTCCCCCCTCCGGGTCCTACACGTAGGGGCAGCCAGGGGGCTTTGCACGCTGCCCTCGCCCCAAGCACCAGTTCTGCAGCTCCCATTGGCCAGGAACCACAGCCAATAGGAGCTGCATGGGTGATGCCTACAAATGGGGCAGCGCACAGAGCCACCTAGTCGCACCTCTGTGTAGGAGCTGGAGTGGGGACATGCTGTTGCTTCCTGGAACTGCTTGAGGTAAGCACCACCTGGAGCCTGCCCCCACTCCTGTACCCCTAGCCAGAAGCCCCCTCCTGCACCTCAAACCCCTCAGCCCTAGCCAGAAGCCCCCTCCTGCACCCCAAACCCCTCATCCCCAGCCCCACCCCAGATCCTGCAGCCCCAACTGGAGCCCTCATCCCTCCCACACCCCAACCCCCTGCCCCAGCCTCCTCCTACTCCCAAATCCCTCATCCCTGGCCCCATACCAGAGCCTGCACCCCCAGCTGGAGCCCTCACTCCCTCTGCACCCCAACCCCCTGCCATGGCCCAGACCTCCCTCCCACACCCAGAACCCATTTCTGGTCACATCCCAGAACCCATACCCCTAGCCCAGAGCCCGTATCCCTTCCCACATCCCAACCCCCTATCTCAGCCCGGAGTCCCCTCCCATACTCCGAACACCTCCACTCCACACACCCTCCCCCAACACAGAGCACCCTCCTAAACCCCAAACCCCTCATCCCCAGCCCCCTCCCAGAGTCTGCACCCCTAGCCAGAGCACTCATACCCACCTGCACCCCAACCACTTGCCCCAGCCCAGAGCACCCTCACGCACTCCAAACCCCTCAGCCCCAGCCTGGAGCCACCTCCTGCACCCTAAATCCCTTATCCCTGGCCCCACCCCAGAGCCCTCACCCCAACCCACTGCCTCAGCCTGGAGCTCCCTCCCACACCCTGAACTCCTCATTTCTGGCCCCACCCTGGAGCTCACACCCCCAGCTGGAGCCCTCCCGCACCGCAACCACTGAGCCAGCCAGGTGAAAACGAAAAGTGAGTGAGGGTGGGGAGAGCGAGTGACAGAGGAAGGGGGGATGGAGTGAGTGGAAGGCGGTGCCTCGGAGGAGGGGCGAGGTAGGAGGCAGGGCAAGAGTGTTTGGTTTTGTGCAAGTAGAAGGTTGGCAACCGTACTCCGTGCCTAAATTCCCCATCTGCAAAGTGGGAGTAACAACAACAGAGAGGTGTTGTGAGAATAAAAAGAACAAAGGTTGCAAGGTGCTCAGATGCTATGGTAATAGAAGCCATATAAAAACCGAAGACTATGGTCTTTAGTAAACAACACTTTTTTAAAAAGACAGTTTTAAGATTTGTTTAAGGTTTCTTTAATTAATCCAAAGCTAATGTAGTCCATGATGCCATCTACCTCAGATCACTGCAGAGCCCAATACACAACTAATTTAACTGAGATTATTTTGGTGGAGTAAACCAGGAGTATGGTATATCCTTATGCCAACGTGTGAGGAAATATGCCTGTAACTGCCTTCAAATTGAAATTGACACACATTCTCATTCTTGTCTGAAAATGTCTTTTAACATTTTAAGATTAACTTCCTGTGTTCTTTTTTATTATAGTATTTGCTTTAAATGAATCCCTATCACTTACAGTGAGTAACTACAGATTTGGAAAATGACCGAGAGAGCTGCATTTGGAAACTCTTGTTGAGATAGATGGACACAGTCAATCAATGGAGGGGATGGACTTAGAGGGAGCAAGGAGAAGGGTTTGTGTTCACCAATAGTGTGTTTGTAAGTGATGGTGCAGATCTGGCAAAACTGTAGTAGGACATTTGTTAGTTCTTTATTTGCACACTGAAGGGGGGAGGGGAGATAGTGAAAGGGGCCTGATGTGATTCTGTAGAAGCTGAATGCTGAATTCACTGTTGAGACATCTGAGTTACAAAACAGACACAAAAATGCAAGTGTACAACCATACTGTCAGACATTTCAAAAGTTAACTACAATATGATTTCATTCTAATTGCCAATGCAAATTATTGCTAAAAAGCTTTTACAATTATATAATGTATTACTATATTCTTTCAAAGTGAAATGCAAAACCTATTTATCTGACTTAGCTTTTCAACAGTAATACCTCCAACAAGGAAATGAAAAGAGAGGAAGAGAAGAAAAGAAAAGAAATCAAAGACCCAGTAGACTTGAAGAAAAACAGAGAAATAAATACAGGATCTTTATGTATGGACTGATACAAAATAGCAAAACTCCTCCAAAGATCGTAAAGTGTACTCAGCCTATAGCACTCAGGTTAAAAGACTC